TGTGACGAGCTGACTGAGTTTTACACCGCTAGTCCTACTAACTACCTTCAACATCCTTCTCAGGATGGTATAATCCTTTTTCAGTAACCCAGGAAAGACTAACGGGGAACAGTAAAGTAGAATAGGTAGGATACGAGAGTTGACAAATTGTGTAAGCAGAGGTTGAGGGACTCCAGTTAGTCTGAGTTTCTTAATGTAGTAGGTTAGACGAAACACTTTCTTGGAAATCATTTGGATATGAGATGACCAAGTAAGGTCGGAAGATATAACTAATCCGAGGTATTTTGCATTAGACTTTGTTTCAATTATAGTCCCCTCGATTCTACAGACATCATGAGTGCTTACTAGTGTTTGTAGATCTCGTTTATGCCTAAAGGAGAAGTCGACGGTCTGGCATTTTGAGGGATTCAGCGTTAGGCCATTTATTTTAGACCACTGACTGATGTCCGACAGGAAGCTATTTAATTTGAAGCAGTCTGAATGAGACTTGAATTCATTCCACTTCACTTCACATCTTTATTCTTATCGTAATTGTACTCCTAATTTTTAAAATTTTTTGACAACACCTGACATTTTAAAAACATTTTTGATATCAATTCACTTGTAAAACAATCTTTAATAATTTTGTAGTTTATACACTTCAACTCTACCCATTATAACATTTTAATTATCGTTATTCTTATCGCATATATATGTATATTGACTGAGCAATTATTTAGTGCCACTTAATAACCTTTTTCTGTAATATTAATACGACTGTACAGCTTGAAAATGAAGTCGTTGAAAAGAAATTTCTTCGCTGAACAAAAAACCGTGTCTAAATATTTGGCAATAGTAATACATGTAAATGGAATTCCTTTAAGATTCAGGTTTATTCATTTCTACGAACCGAATTATTGATGTTACCATCCCTTATAATACTAAACTTCACAACACAGATCTAGAAGCAGGTAGGCAAGAGATTAATTGGTGACCAAAAACTTCTGCTTAGTAAGAAGGTAACAATAATGGGAACCATACTAGGAGTCTTTAAGTTTCAAAGTGAAACATAGACAGAAGTGTGTAACAGTTCCCAGTTGTAGCAGACACGGTTTAGTAATCCACTTCAAAAATCTACTGTAAAACTCCTAAATTTCAACTCCTGATGAAAAGCCTCTTTTGAATAGCAATTCAATCTTCTAAATTCTAAAGATGACAGATGTTAACCAGCATATGCCTCCATTTTCCGAATCTCTCAAAGCAGCCATGGTGACCACAAATGCAAGATTAACCTCAAATTTCCCTTAAAATGTAATGATCATTACCAAATGTAAATTAAATAAAAACAATTGTATCTGATAGAAAATTTAATGAAATGAGACCACTAAATCACTAGGTTTACTTTCACTAGTAACACCAAAATTATCTTGATATGCACGTCGTCATTAGTCGACGTCAGACAGAGGACCGTTGGGAATCAAGAAACGTCTAGTACAGGAATATTAAAAGGTAAGAACAAAGTCAGTGTTTCCTCATCACTACATATGATCAGGAATTATCGGCATATCTGGCCATAAAACTTACAAAACTGATAAGTTATTTCCAAGAATGTGACAGATACTTTGTTTATTTAAGTGAAAAAAAAACTAATTATAGTGTCTTACCGTCAAACGGATGGATCTCACAGGGGATATGAAGCTACGTCTTGTGAGAAATGTATAGAGAAAAGGATACTTCATTCTGATTTCCATTTTGGGTAAATTTAAAAGATGTTTAACAACTATTGAAACAAGACAATATTAGCAAACGATCATGTTTTTAATTGGATCTTCTTCATGCTTTACTCCAATTTGCGTAGCTTTATATATAAGAAATTTAACAAATGACGGTGAGTTTGTGGATCAAATAAAAACAATAAAATTAAAGTGTTAATGGTTTTGGATGTTAGTAATAACGATGATTCTAATGGCAACAAAGACAGTAATGTGTGTATATGTAGACAATTCAATAGATGGGAAATCAAAACAAGTGATTTAGCGAAGAGAATCTTTTCAACGAATTTATTATCACGCTGTACAATGGTATACATATGGTTTTTATTATCATCAAAGTTTTTGTATTTCTTAATGAATGAAAAACAAAACGATATTGTTTTTGCTGACATTTCACTATTAAACGAGAATTTACAAAATCTCAGTCTATACATAGCAACTGAATCATCTTTCGTCAGCACGAAGTAATTTTTACGTTGTTAAGTTGGCCAGTTGGTAAAGATAACAAAAGGAAGTGCAGATTGTTGGATTTGATAAGTGTATAAAACTATGAAAGCAGCATATGTTTACTTAATGAAACTGCTTATCACATTCGTGAGGCATCTGACCAAATTGATTTTGTATCTGATGCATCCAAAATACGCTAATCCAAATGCAATATCCTTATAGATTTGTAAGGAGACACATAAACACCAGGTATAATAAGGAGAAACTGGTAGCAGTTAAAAAGGAACAACTGTTCCAAAAATTGTACTTTAGTGGGGACGGGGCTAGTGAAATCTTACATCTAAGAATATCGAGAGCAATAAAACAGACTTATACTGCCGCTAACCTTTGTTTGTTATCTTCCAGTCGACCAGTTATGACTGCTCACGAAAAAGACAAGTTACCTAGCTGTGCCACTTTTATGTGTATCTACAAATTTAGCTGCTCCTGTGACGAGAGCTATATAGGGCGAACAACTAAACAGCTCAACGAACGTATTAATGAGCATCTTCCTTCATTGTTCTGAAAAGGCCAAGTAAAATCTATAAGAAGTTCTATCTTACCTCATTTGACTGATAGCGGTCACGAAGTGGACGGAAGAAGTTCCTTCAAAGTTATCAATCCCATTCCATCGAACTTTTCGAATGGAATTCGATCCCGCCTTTCACACATAGCCGAAGCTATGGGAATTAGAGAGAACAATCCTGGTCTTTGCATACAAAGGAAGTTTGTTCTACCTATGTCTCTCCCTTGGGCTAGGTAAATTCTAACTAAAACCTTCCCACTCTTTCTAATTTTCCCATTCCTTCGTATTTTCACGATGTTTATTCAAACTCGAATTATCTGTCCACTTCACCTTTAGTATTTTGTAACTTTTAAGATTTGACCTAATTTACTTACTGAATTGCCTATATATACACACATTACTGTCTTTGTTGCCATTAGAATCATCGTTATTACTAACATCCAAAACCATTAACACTTTAATTTTATTGTTTTTATTTGATCCACAAACTCACCGTCATTTGTTAAATTTCTTATATATAAAGCTACGCAAATTGGAGTAAAGCATGAAGAAGATCCAATTAAAAACATGATCGTTTGCTTATATGTCTTATTCTAATATTAATAATGAGAATATTTAACAATTACTGAATAAAAGCAAAATATTTTCCAGATGGAAAACTAAGCATCTTTCGAAGATGTTAATGCATCTAACAACTTGAGTATGCTGTGTTTTCCAGTTTTGACATCTTTTAAAAGATCCATTCATCAAAAACGTGCATGATATGAAAAATAAGCCATTTTCTATATGGCTATATGGACCAAAAGGATTTGTAGTTCAGACAGTGTTAGCATTTAAAGCCACACTTGCTGAAAGTAATCACCCAACCACTTCATTGATAAAAACATGGCGAACAAATAAACCAAATTGATCACTGACTCAATTCCAAAGAAAACCACCTTCATGAATCTAGAATTCCAAAGAGATAATGCTTCCAACATTCTTAAAGAGCGTTTGTGGTATGTCTGCACCGCCAATTGTTATAACAGTAGTGAACTCGACTGGTACGCTAATACCCCTATTTGTCCGTTGTACTTCCTGATTCACTGAGCCAATATCAAAAGATAGAGGTTGGCCTGTGACTGTATCATTATTAGGAAATGATATGACACATGATATTTGTACATTTTCTTTGCCACAATAAAGTTCGCTCACAGCCGTGAGAAATGATTGATCGCATCATAAATCCCAAATTGCGTAAGAAAGGATGATATGCTATTTTATGTGGGTTCCTATCGGTTTGTCAAAATCTGGTAATAAGACCTCCCTCAAAACTTCGGTTGACCTTAACTAGTTGGAAACTGTTCACCATTGTATTAAAAGATAAGCCCCACTGTCTGGCTGCCTCTATGTATACTTATCAGTTAACTTGCTCTGATACAGGTAGGTAAATGGGATTTTGTCATAGAATACTTTCCACACGCAGATGACAGAACAGTTCAGTATATTTTTTAAAGGTAGAAGGGAAGAGCATGAGGAGTTCTATCCTTGAACACTTCAACTTCTGTCACTCAGCTAAGTGCGATAACGATTTTAGGATGACTTATCCAATTCTTTAAAAGGCTGTGTTACGCATTCCACTTTCTTATTGCTCAACGTTTAATCATGACAGGGACAACAAATATTTTATCATAATTAACATCATTGGCGTTATGGAAAATTATGGTTTAGTTTTCCTCATTAGGTAGTTTTCAAAAAATGATATGTAATTATGATCGCTCAGCTTAGTAATAAATTTGTTAAAAAGAGCCTGTTGTTTTATAACGGAAATTATAAAATTGAGAAGGTGATTAATTAATTTTCTCTGGAATTTCGTGGTTCCTTGATGTGTAATGAATACCGTCTTTATATTATTTTTCACTCCTAAATAACAAGTCTCACGAATCTTCACTATATCATTAAACATCTTACTTAGAGTGAATACGGGTGGTCACCCAGATGAAGTCTTTGTAGTTGGCCAAAATTATTACAATCCTCCACTAATGTGCAAAATATTAGTTTTTTGTTGGTGCAGAAAAATCTGCCCTAAAAGCAAATGTCAATCAGAAATAATATGTTTTACTTTACCGAACAGGAGTAATTGGATGTGTAAACAAATTAAAACTTATTCAAGAAGTATACTTAAAATATAAGACTGAGAGAAATAAATACCAATTGAAGCGGTCAAACTACCCGTAACAATATCAAAAAATATTTACCTTTCCCATTATAAAACTCTGCATGCTTTACACCTCTTGGAGGATCAACTGCTGCTGGCATCAGTCTAGATTTGGGATTCAAACGAAGAAAATTAGTTGTCCATGGATCTTGTGATTTAGATAGCATATCATAAGCTTCTGGTTCATATGTTAAGCAGGCGTTATGTAATGGATGAGTGTCATTAGACCAGATTTCAAGATTTGGAGGGGAATTATTGTTAGTTTGATTATTATTGTTATTATTACTATCCTGATAATATTTCAACAAACGGTCAGACTTTTCAACAAATTGTGGACTATGATCATGTCTAGTTTTATTAGCCTTACTGATTCGCATATCATCAAGTTTTCGCAACATAGCTAATGGGCATAAATCAACTGTAGGATCAGATCCGAAGAAAGAAATAGCGGCTTTCCGTTCTGCGTCTCTCAACAAACGACAGTCTAATGAAGAGAAAATAAAGAGAAAAAAGTTAAACTGGTGATATTTATTTTATGAAAAGATAATAATAAAACGTTTGAGTAGTTATTCACAACATTGTCTAAAAAGCTTATTAAATAAAGATGCATTCAGTTATTATTAAGGTTACATCTTTCTCAGCCGTGTTTATTCAGTATAACCGTAATATGATATTACCTTCCTACCATAGATTGGAAATGTTAGGTATGTCATACGTACAGTACCAAAATGGACCGATTAAAACTGGCTCTATGCACACTCTGAATAACAGTCACACTGAGAGGCAACCATTTTATCCTTTTCAAAATCCTGTGGTCATGGAACAGAATTATGAAGTACTTCATATATTCCTCCATTTGTTGAATACAATATTGGCTCTCCTTTGTGAATATACATTTCTTCTGGTTTCAGTATATCTTCTTCACACAGGATGGCAATTTTTTTAATCTTGCCTATGCTATATCATTAGTTTTGCTGCACGCAGCAAAGTTAATAATTGTTGGTGTGCATTGAATTCCAAATAGAAACTCCCTTTGTAAAGTGAATTTATCAAATTCAAAAACTAAATATACGTTCATTATATCAGACTCACTCTTAGAATGAAAAGGTAAAAGGATGAAAACAAAAACATTGAAACAATTAAATCATCCCCAGCTGTCAAAATGCTAGGTAGAAAAAAAGAAGACAAACTAATAAAAATTCTTTACTGGATGTTGCACAGAGACTTTACCTAAATATAACAAACCGGCAGAATAGAATTTCTACATTAAGATTGCCATATTCATTCTGTGATCGGTATTACACTTTGCGAGAAAGTCAGAAAGAATAACAAGGTGCTTCGCAGAAAATGGTGGTCCTGATTTCGATAAGAAAGCCAAATAATTTACGCCGAACGCGTTAATCTTCTAAACTTACCGAGGTTTAATCAATCAAGGCTGTATGATCAACACGTAAACACGGTCTTTAGTCCTCAGTCAGAGAATGGGCATATAATGGCTTGGTGTTATTGTTAATTAGTAATGCAGAGTTTAAAAAAAATTAGATAAAATGTATCTACCAACAAGCCAAGTTTTCTAGTTAGGTTATAATATAGTAACATCGAAACAGGTTGGGGCTAAACGCTGATTGTAGGGTACACAAGGACATTTCTGATTACTTTATTACATAAAATGCAGAATATGTAAAAAAGTAAAAATGTTATTCACTAAAAGCAGTAATGTGATATTTCCAAAGGACCTTTGGAGATAACCAAAAAGACAGGAATGCACAAGATAAAATCAAGGCATTTTTCAGTACTTTTTACTAGAAAACTCCAAATATGAATGACCCGACCGAAAGCTGCTACCTTGACGTGGTGGTCGGGCTTGAACACCGCAATGACCCAATCAAGCTATTCTGGCTGAGACTTATGTCTCTTGAGATCCTACCATGCCAGAAAGGTCGTTTGGATAGCGGTTAAAATAAAAAGCAGCTACCCAACCCACCATTATGATACAAACAAAATCGCAAAATTTCATGCCAGATCGGCCGTGGCCCGGATTAACAACGACCGCGCTTCCTGCTGCCGTGTCACAGGGCAGGAGTGATAAATATGCTACCGAGACACACCAAACAATAAAGAACAAACAAAAACAGGCCGCGTATGAACGGCCTCAAGCAGTTGTCCCCTGGGCTCTGCGGTCACGCAACCAACTTCCACGGTGTGGGCAGCCGGGAAGTAACAATCGCCCTCACAATCCGAAATACACACAGACAGACAGAAATATGAATGAGGAAATTGCACAATACTTGACAATACCACCAATTTTGAAGCGAATCTGATAACATCCACTGGCGAAAATCTGCATGGCACATTCTAAAACACTCACGCATACACAAAACAGCAGTAAAACTACAATATAGGGAATCTCAAGTCATTTGCACCAATTGTAACAATAAAAGTATTCAGTTTTAAAAAAAGTGCCAGATAGAAAAGACGAAAAAGAATTAATTTCCCGTTCTTTTCATCCTACGTTTTACTCTGCTGTCCATATAAAGGACGGAAAACTGTAATTTAATCAAGTTACCCGTACTCTGATTTATACTTATAAGTAAACCAAGTCAATGAGTCACTTAATACTTACTATTCTACTGAATGTTATGCATTGTCCCAACAGAAGCTATAACAGAACAACTATGCTTTGTGATACTGTAATAAATTGATAGATATTCCACTCAGAGCAATCAATAATAAAATCAGTAGATCAAATTCAATAAATTTGCACTACTGGGGTATTTCTAAGGACCAAAATGTAGTTTGCTTGGAAAAAATGAATCTCTCTAAAAATGGCATATAATAACGATTTCTACTGCACTTTGAACTTCTAATGCACATGTACGTTTTGTAAACATGACATACAACCTCTAAGTAACTCACTTTCCAATGAAGGTAATACTATAAGTGCAGAGTTAATTGTACATCGACGCCAACGGTGGAAGAGAAATAATCACTGTCTATAATACATCCATTATAAATCCTAATAATTCATTTTGTTTGGAAATCACCTCAGAACCCATGAGAATTATATAAAATAGCTTACCAAAGCCACTCTTTGAAAGAACACACCCTACACTCGCGCAAGCAAAGCTAAACTACAGGTATAATTCACGCAAAATCTCAGAAGACAGTAAAGTTGGTGAATTCACTCACACCTAGCGGTTAAAAATGTGTATATTACCATCTGTGAACAAACGGACATTACTAGGTCATAAGTAAGCATCACAGAAAAATTAGTAGTTGAGGAAAAGAATGTAACATAAAACAACAATCCAAAAAGACTTGCCTAGAGTTTTTAGTTTAGGAAGGATGTATGTGAGATACAACCTGTAATCTGAGTTCAAACGTGACACTGGATTCAATCGAAGATCAAGGTCTTTAATATTTTTGTTAAAAGCCAGAACTCTAAGTTCATTAATATCTTCAATGCTGTTGTAATACAGGTTTAAAACTTCCAAAGTCTTGATGTGCTCAATACCCTAAATATATAATTATTAGGTAGATTGTATTACCCTAATTGACTTCAGGACATTTCTTGATAGATCAAGGATTTTCAGCCTTGAAAAATGTAATAAAGCGGTCCCAAGACAATTTATTTTCTCCTCATAATTTCCCTGCAAAATCAGTGTTTTTATATCCTCTGAAAAAAACAAAAGGTTTACAGGACCATTAAAAAATCTACCTAAGTTTTCGCTGGAAATTTTGACTTTATCTTTCACCCAATCTTCAGATATGGAGATATATTTGCTCATGTTGTCATGTTGTCAAGATGTCGAATTAGTTCACGCCAGAAATTCTGAAGGTCACACTTTTAAAAAACCATTTATATAACTAAACAAACGTGCACAACACCTTGTAGACATTTCTTTTATATGAGAGCTCGCAAACAAAACTATTTTTATTTTGTATCAATTTCGGGGTACTTTCATCTCAAAATATAGAGAAAAGAAATTGTGAGTCTGTTTCGAATTATCTTTTGAAATCTTGTTAATGCATGTAACGACTCTATTAGCGTCCGTTTTTGTGAGAATGGAAAATACGTTTTACGCTTCTGCAGTCAAAAAGAAGTATTCGCTTTTATTATGTTCGTATTAATGCATCAAAATGTCTGAATATCCTGTGTAATTTATTACGAAGAAAGGAATGTACTACGCGGGATTATGCTCAAAATGCCTTTCACCTATATTTGATAACTTAGAACGTCACACGCATGTGAATCCTTAAGATTGAAAAGTGACTACAGAAGACTCATAAGGCTATGGTATTTAATCTGTGAGAAGTTAGTAAGATGTGAAATCTATTCCATCCAGAAGGAATGAAAACTTTCATGACACCTCGAAGAAGTCATGTGGTGAATGAAACAAATGGCTGAATTTTGAGATGGTTATATACATTTTGATGAAGTACACAGCCAAAATTTTTCTGCCGGATGCAATACTAGTGGAATTTACATTATCACATGGAGAACTAGAAGATCGTGACTGCTTACTGCATTGAATGGCATTAGCTTGTCTTGATATCAGTGTGCATTGTGACAAGAAGAGAACCATGGATAGTCACCATGAAATATAATTCCGCTACATTTAGTACTACGTTTCTGTTGAAAAGTAGCTTGCAGCTACATCCTTCCATCAATACACCTGTTAAGTATGTAATTTCAGTCTTAATAATCATTCATTTTCAGGTAACTAAACCATTCAGAGATCCTTCAGGAACTTTCTTTTGCTATAAAGCATGTGAAAGTTGCACCAATGACTCCTATTTATTCACCATTTATTATTCAACAGCTTATCTGGGGAGAATTAGTTATGCTCAGATTAAAATGCCTAAGCACTTGCACGCTATTATCCATGGAGGGACGGTTTCTGAAAATGAATAGAAATAGTACTGCGATTCTTTCAGCCCCATTTACTCAGTTATTCGTCACATTTAGACTTTATTTTGAATACCCTAACACTCGTGATCATATGGACTGACATCGCGCTTCAAGGGATATAACAGTAACTTACTGCTTTTTAATACACTTAATAATATACACAGGCGTACTACACCACAGTGCCTAACTTCGATTCTTATACTTCGTAAAAATAGGTTAGGTATTTTTGCCATTGGTCCCTACAGATTCGCATATGGATAGGGGAAGCAAATGCATAGCTTTCGACAGATGTTCAGACCTGAATAAAGTCAGTTTATGTCATCGCCAATATTAATCGATAGTGTCCGTAAAGAATTACATTCCCATATAGCAACAAGTTCACATCCTAGAGAGTAGCAGCCTGGAATACCACACTACTACTTCAAGTATATCAAACACAAGAATATAACAAAATGTTTTAATGTAACGCAAATTAGTTTAGTTACATTTATGGTTGAACACCCGTTATTCAACGGGAGTTCTCATTTCAAGCAAAGAGAACTGCACGACCACATCCAAAGTTATCCGATATCTCAAAATGGAACAAAGAATGCCTCCCTGGGTATAAGTGAACGAGTGAGATTACTTTCCACTGTTATTATATGAAGAGTTGATTCCTACACCTGATTATGCAAATCTATCCGGTGATAAGCAGAAGTACACTTCAGAGGGGCTATCCATAGTATTCTCCTCCTCACTTTGCCCAAGACAAGCTAATGCCATTCAATGCAGTAAGCAGTCACGATCTTCTAGTTCTCCATGTGATAATGTAAATTCCACTAGTATTGCATCCGGCAGAAAAATTTTGGCTGTGTACTTCATCAAAATGTATATAACCATCTCAAAATTCAGCCATTTGTTTCATTCACCACATGACTTCTTCGAGGTGTCATGAAAGTTTTCATTCATGCTGGATGAAAATAAAAGACCTTAAGATTCCTAGAACAGATATCTAAATTGTCTAAGTGATTACCCTCTATCAAAAGCCTGAATCTCTTAGAATAGATGCTATAACATTAAAATTTGCGTGTAGTCACTTTATAGTGTGAAATTTTAGAACCACTCGGAATTATCTAAACTCCATTGCTTCCGAAAAAATAATGATCATTTCTACGCATAATTGCTTTAAGTGCAAGCCTTTCTTCGTGATAATTAATCTGGGATATCGCGCCGATTTCACGCATTAATACGAATATAATATAAAAAATGTCTCTCCTTTTGACTGCAGAAGCCTTAAACTATACAAGAATAGACTCTTATAACGCCTCTGTGGGCATGAATACAAAAAACCATACTAAGCCTGAAAATATATCGCTATAGCCTTCTATTCTTAAAGGTGATAGGGATCAGAATCACAGTATATTATATCTCAAGACGTCGCCAAGTGATAATACAAATTTATTCATATGAACTAAATATTTACACGATTGGAATGCGTGATCACACCTGATTTAGTTATGCGATAAACTCAAATACCATGTTCTACGCTTGTTGCCGAATAATTGTAAAGAAAAAGTCATGAAAATTATGCGCATATGACAGATATTAACGGCTAGTTATTGTGAAACTGAATCAAACTTCAAGGACGCATTTATCAATAAGTTTTAGGTAGTCTGAGGAAAAAACATACACACTAGAAGAAAATTGCATAAAACTATTTCACTACAATCCAATATCCCTCATCCGCTGATGTTTCCCCCGGATATGAACGTGGTGTGTGTGAATGATTTACACTGTTAGCTATTTATGTTTTCACTTTTCAAAAATCTTCCAGTGCCTTCTCAATTCCACAAACATGAAGGACTGACTTACTCTGATAGGTGCAGAATATATGGACTTCAGCTACATTGGTTAAGGCGCCTGAAACTCAACCTAACATTCCTCTTTCGCCTTTTACACGGCTACATCAAAAGCAGTAATCCAATAGCTTTCAACAATTTACCCATATATACTCTTAGGAATCATGAAAATACTCTATCCATAACCCGGTACGGGACAAAACTGCGATCACGTTTCTTCAAAATACAGTACAGTGCATTATGGAACGAACTTCCACTTACTGTACGTAGTTGCTGATCTCCTACTGAATTCCAGAGTCTCCTTAACGAGTTCCTGTCAACAAAAGAGCTTCGGTCTACTTATCCATACTTTATCCATATGGGCTACTCAACTAGCTTTAGTAATACAGACCCCAGTGCAATACCCTCAATTTGAGGAAACTCATTTACCCCAGAAACCGTACCGCATCTATAACGTGATAAAACCGACCCAATCATTCCCACATGCCTTTACCTAAGGTTCGGTTATTCAGCTTATTAGAGATCCTATCAATGTTTCATTAATCGGGTTATAAACTCATAAGACTATCTATAATTATCCTGGACGTATAATCCCAAATTAGTTTTGATAGTTCTTCCATAATATAAGCAAACTGATACTTTTAATGTCTAAGGCATGCCACATGAAAAGCGGCCAGGGAAACCTAGCAATAACAAAGTCAGCCAACCAACAATTTTCCCCAAGTTTATTCAACATGCACTTATCCCTAATCATACCACTATCCACTACACTCTACTCAGTAGATTATGACTTAATATGCTCCGGTACTCAAAACTCTTCTGCCATTTACTTTCAAAGACGTTTTAACTACTAACTGAGCGGTAATCATCCAAATAACTCACGGATTTTCTCTTCACTGTAATCTTCAATAAGTTCGTCAGTATAATTATTTCCAAAACAAATACATTAGCAACCATAACTTTTAATATTTTACAAACATCCTTATTTTATTGGTATGATACACTGTGCTATTTTTGAGTTGAAATAACTATCTTCAGTGCGTCGGTGGCACAGTGGTTAGGACTCTCTCCGATCATGCACATGGTCCGAGGTTCGATCCCACGCCGACGCACACCTGATATCTATGGTCGGCCTGCGAAATTTGGGCTACCGATATCCACGCTGAAAATTCCACACTTGTACCACAAATACGGTGTGAAATCAAGCTGTAATCAAAAATAATAAATAAATAAATAAAATAACAGTCGCCCATCTTCAGATAATTTTCTAAAATTCATAATTCTAAAGCTATGTAGTATTTTTTCAATTATATGGTTCATGAGTCACTGCAATGTGTAAGGCACACCATATAATAATAATAATATATTTTTCACATAAATTAAGCATTTACATGATGCACATACCCTTGTATAGGCATGATCACATTTGACAAGTGCAGTTTGACATTGAACACTCGAAAACACGAAAAAAACTAAATGAGATGAGAGAGCAACTGATCAAAATGGAGGAATCGCTGCATATGCATAGACTGCGTCTGTTGAATGCAGAGCATACAAGTACCCGTGAAAGTCCTGCAAAACTTTTTAAATCTCGAATTCTCGAAAAGCATCTGATGTCCACAACTTCTAATGTACATTATTCCAAAGGGAATGACTATAGACCTTCTGTTGGAATCATACTACAAAAAATGGGAAATCGAGTGGTGAAGATATTAGACATTCAAGATCACTCAGTTCATAACAGACACCTGGACAAAGTGACAATAAATGAAGTAGGTCGTCCCAATTATTACTGTAATGATTCCGCTACTAATCCTGATTTTGTAGATAATTCAGAAATAAGTCCAGATAATACTGATGAAAATAATATCACAGAATCAGTTAGAAGGTCGCAGCTACTTGCAAGCAAACTGAAACATCGTTATAAATACTCAAAAAGGTATTCGACGTGTGGTGAATATGGTGGTTGACAATTTCTATCTCTCTGTTGTTTAAATACTTACTGCCAATGCAGTTGAAGATTGAACGATCAATTCAT